AATAGAGTTGTTGCTTCTACTGCAGTGTCGTCCTGAAGAAGAAAGCATTCTAGCTACTATGAGGATGCAGAACAGTGTGTCTCAGGAGAGGGCGGAGAGGGAGAGATCCAATCATACACATTCCTCAGCCTGTCTATAAGCATCTAGCTATAAAACTGATTTTTATAGTTAACTGTCCCACTTCACATTTCTCATGGTCTACTCACCAGGAGTCGTGCCAGCAGCCCCTGGGGTGTAGGGAGTTTCACTAGGGAAAGAAACAGACTATCATTAATTATGCCAGGTTTTGCAGAGAGTCCTGCTGATACAACAAGGAGTCTGGTGGCACCTTAAAGACTAACCGATTTATTTGGGCATAAGCTTTCATGGGTAAAAAACCTCACTTCTTCAGATGCATAGAGTGAAAGTTACAGATGCAGGCATTATATACTGACACATGGAGAGAAGGGAGTTTCTTCGCAAGTGGAGAACCGGTGTTGACAGGGCCAATTCAATCAGGGTGGATGTAGTCCACTCTCAATAATAGATGAGGAGGTGTCAATTCCAGCCAGCTGGCTGGCTCATTACAGAAGCAGCTTTTCCTCTCCTGGAATTGACACCTCATCTATTATTGGGAGTGGACCACATCCACCCTGATTGAATTGGCCCTGTCAACGCTGGTTCTCCACTTGCGAAGAAACTACCTTCTCTCCATGTGTCAGTATGTAATGCCTGCATCTGTAACTTTCACTCTATGCATCTGAAGAAGTGAGGTTTTTTTACCCACGAAAGCTTATGCCCAAATAAATCGGTTAGTCTTTAAGGTGCCACTAGACTCCTTGTTGTTTTTGTAGATACAGACTAACACGGCTACCCCCTGATACTTGAGTCCTGCTGATGTTATTCACCTATCCATTTCCAACGTGCCCACCAATGTTGAATACAGCTGATAATAATTTGCATTTCCATAGTGCTTTCAGTCTGAGCATCTCAAAATGCTTTACAAACATGAATGAATTCCGCCTCACAGCACCTCTATGAGGTTGGCATTAATTACTCCTTCATTTCACAAGTGGGGAAGCCGAGAGAGAAAGATCAAGTGATTTCCCCCAAGATCACATCAGAATTTTGGTGGCAAGCGGCGAACAGAACCCATGTTTTCTAGCTCCCTCCCATGGCCATGTTGTAATCACAAGACCATCCCTCATTCATTTTAGCCTCCTGATTGCAGACGAGAGAACTGGAGCAGACTGAACCTGTTCATTTCATAGTGTGCCTGGAGAGAATAAATGAAAGAGTTTCTGTTATAAACCTGGTCCACTGTAGTCGAGGCAAGCAGCTTCTTCTCCTTCCTGCTGCTTTTTCTCAACCAGTGCCCGAAGGCATCTGCAGAGACGCTTCAAAGT